CGACTTGTTTAATTTTATGTAAATAGTTCGGAGTCGACACCCGTTTGAAAGATTAAAAATAGAAATACTCGAAAATACGTGTTTTAAATTAAGAGGTTGAAAAAAACGTACATATACATATGTATGTACGTGCTGGAGCAAGGTTGCCACAGTAGCATTTCGTTTTAATAAAATATATAATACATCTGAAAAGTTTCAATGTGGGTATCGAAAATATATTTTTATTTTATCTCACAATGATTGGTTTCAATTATTATTAAACTTTTATAAATATGTATCTTTAATAATTTAAAAAATAAGYTCCAAGATATTATAAGGATATTGAGTTTTATGTATGCACATATGTAGAGGTTAGTTCATACTGGTCCTTAGTAAAGCCAGATGGAGGTTCAGTTCAATTTGAGATGAAGTATTCTTTATACAGGGCGGATTTTAGTCCTTTCAAGATGCAAAACTCATCGATATCTAAGACGAGTTTCAGACAAAGCTGAACAGAAGCATTGGAGYTGTCTCAGCGTCTTCTGTGACCAATCATTAAGCCAAAAACCGTTCTTCAGTCCTTCATTCAAAACCGTGTGAATAAAAAGCATATATGTTTTCTATGGGGTTCTGGCACATAATCTTGTGGATCGTGTATATCCTAGTGTTCTATCTCGCCCTTATCCACCACTTATCCACCTGTACGGCCTTTCGGAAAATTCATTGTAAATTGTTTGCTGTGACTTCCATATTTTCTGTACTAGTTCGGTACCAAGACGAATGGCGCTTTTGTGAATCTCACCAGTTATTTAGTTTCTYCGAATAGCTTTTTGGCGTGGAACCCAGTATATATGCAGCCGATACTTCTGCTGACCCAACGTAATGCGATCCGAGATTTTTGCCCTAACTGCCCCCTGGCTATCGGTATATGGTTCTACATAGATATATTGATCTCTTCATGTTGCTTCCTGAGTGGTGAACTATGTAAACCGCTGTCTTGGCAACAGTCGGGAAGCTTGCAGGGTGGCCTCCGAACAATGTATTCCGGCTTTCAAGTGTAATAAACCGTATATATGTATGTACATATGTCATAAAAATTTCCTTTGCAAAGTCGAACATAGGTAGAAGCTCCTTTCGCTCCTTTGATACTCTACAAACATAACCAAAGAGACTCTTTTGTGATTTCAGTTAGAAGCATGCAAATATAAAAAAAAAAAAAACAATTTTAACAAATCTAAACCTTTGTTAAAAAAAAATTTACATTTTTAAAAGAAATAAATTCTGTGTGGCAACATTTACACTCTTACGTACAACTTAAACATAAAAAGCTCGACAATACCGGCTAAAAAAGCACGTAGACATTTTATTTTCCAATTAAAACTTTATGAATAAGCTCGATTTTACTTAAGGCTTCTTGCAATTTGACATATGCCTTAAAAGCTTTAGAGTGCTCTATATCAAAAACATTAAAATATAACTGCACTGCGCAAGTCAACTTAAGCTCTTCAAAACCACTTGCTTTTAGCTTTGCCATCACACAAGTCACTACAAAGCTCTTAAGTGAATAAGCTTTTATTAAAACTTCATATTGCAGCTTCAAGAGCTTTTATTTACAAACTTTTTTTATTACACAATTTGGTAGCTTAAAGCSAACCCAACGTCCTGTCCAGCTTTGTAATTGCCATCACTGTTGCAAACCAGCACTAGTGGTCCTGGGTTGGTGCCTGAAATTGGCGTTTCGAATTATTAGCAAGAACAACAAATTTATTGTCATAAAAATAATGTACTTGCCACTGTGTCACCCTGTATGCTGCTGCCACAAACACAGTCGCTTGGGGTATCAGTAAATAATCTTCACTTAAGCCCTCGCTAGGCAACTGCGGTCGGCAATAATTGTCCAATTCGTGAAATTTCTGGCGACTGTATTCCGYTCCCAGTCTGAAGTAGCGCATCTTAATACTGTGAACGTAAACAGATTTGCCGTTATTACAATGTCAATTTGTAACATCGTTAATGAAAGTTTGTTCGAGCAATTTTGAGGACTGTTGACGGCGRAAGCCAATAGCATAATTCAGGTTCGCCGGATAAACACACGAACCGCCATTATAATTGAACGTAGTGATAGTGCCAACGGCTTTTGGAAAGTATTGCAGGCAACCAGAAGGTGCAAGAAGGAAATTGTCAGCGCCGTTGGATCGTGGGTCAATATCGCTCTCACGGTGCATATTATTATTACCCTCCACTTCAAAAGGATCGATAGTGCCACATAATGCTAACCTTGATTGACACTCCAGGTACTCTATGTTCATATTCCAACATGCCGCCGTCAGATTTCGGTCGGCTTTCGAACGCAGCGCAGTAACTATACTCAAATCGATGCTCTTGACGCCGGCGGTGCGATTGAACTACACATAAATATGTATGTTTTCCGACCTCAGTGCCGCAAAGTTTTAACCCGTTCACTGCGAAGTAGTCTTTCATGCATTGCACGTACATAAATCGTTCTGCGCGTCGGTATGTCAGCGAGAAATCGATACGTAGCTGACAAACATTGTTGTTGTAAGCGTTAATGCGATAGTTTTATTCTTGTGGGGGACGCCCCGGCGGCAGCAGTTGAATGTGCTTGGCAGCGTTGGTGGTGGCATAGGCGACAGGTGTGGCACAAACAATAAGCCTCGCTGCTGCGAAGAAGCGTTGAGCGTTGATGCGCATATTTTCCGATTTGATAACTCAATTTATGAGTTTCAATGGGACGATTACAGAAATATTGACTTAAATTTAAAAATTATTCATTGGCTTTCACATTTTAAACTATAGAGCTGCCATTTGAGTCTGCGTGCTGAAATTTAGATAATAATCAATCTTTTTCCAGCGCCTTCGCTGCAACCTTCTTAACACACTTGACGGTGCTGCTGCAATCAGTAAAATCACTAATTGATATTGCCGTTATCTCAAACCGTTATCGCGCCTCCAACTGTTTACTTGCATTTGAACAACCTGCGCCGAAGATGTGTCATAACTGATCGAGAACGGGCTTCTCGACGTTTTCSGCAGTATTGCCSAAATATCGAACAACCCGTTATCTAATTGTAATTGATTATTTTTGTTTTCTAGTATTTCGGGCGTGTATCTCGGCTGTTTTGCAATCTGTTGTTATTGTGCGTCTGCAAAAGTCTCTTGCAAACTCACTCTGCTCTTATGAAATATTTAATGGTAAATAAGAAATTATTTTTTCTTAGTTAATTCGATTCTTTTCTGGTGTAATGTTGTTTCGTATTAAGCATTTGGTGTGCCTCGTTTCGCTTATTGCGTGCTTCAGTGTGTCCTCGCCGCAAATATGTAAGTTTGGTACGGGTGAAAGTCAAATTTGAGTGAAAAATCCTTTTTTGGTATCTTCTAACATTTCTTATTGGTATTCTAAGGTTTCTAGTGAAATTAAAAGTCAATAGAATACGATCTTTGGGGGCATAACGTCAAATTATTAGGCTATGTTATGAGGTCAGTTATTCGACCAACAAGCCTTGAACATGATCTTGGCTATCTTACATATTTTGACAATCTCATCAATTATTTACTTTCCAGGAATTATTTTGTGGCATAGAACCCAGTATTAATGGAGCTGCTTTCCTTCGCGTTAGGGACTCATATCCGATATGAGATTACTGCTATAATTCCGTGTATTTTGATTTTTGTTKATGTTGTTTTCTGCGTAATTAGGTATTTCAGTCATAAARACTTCCATCAAGAAAAAACTGCCATATTCCCATGAGGATCACCTTGTTTTTCGACTTTTTTTCCTCACTTTGGCGTACATTGTTTGTGCGGAAAGTAATAAGACGTTGATTAAAAAAAATTATTGAACTAATCGTTACAATTCTTTCAAAACTTTCAAAATAGGCTCCTTCTGCGTCGATGCAGCGCGGTTTCCAAGCATTGAAGGCGTCACGGAAGGCATTCTCTATCTACCGTCTCAAAATGCCTATTTTTGGGGTTCATTTTCACATATSTTCAAATTTTCTTGGCACACTTCCACTCGGCGCAATTTCTGGRCGTCAGTGTGCATTTTTGGGACTATCCTCGCGCGCACCTTGCCCATGTTCCGTTATAATGTCATGAACCACATATTTTGATAAATTTAACATCTGCAGGATGTTAGCAGGTCGCATGTCGCAGGTCTCCCAGCACGGTCTTCATCTCAGTCAGTGCACTCACGCTCCGAAGTACAGTCGCGGCGAAATAAAATCAGTCCTATTACTTTTCGGACAGACCCTGTATTTTTCCCGGTTTCAGCCTATTTTTGGAGCCATATTCGTTAGATTGTTGAACAGTGTAGATATAATATTCATAAATACACTTCTCATCACCAGCAATGATGCGTTTGATGAATGTAAGATACTCAGGTCCGATGTCAAGCATTTCTTTTGTGGTCTCTACACAATGTCATTGTTGCAAAAGTTGTTGGTCCTTTGATACGAGTCTAGCATTGACACGCTTTATACCCACAACATTCACAAATATGTGTTGAGTCGAGTCAAAAGTAATATTGAGATCCTCTGTTATCTCACTGATGCCAACAGTACGATTCACAAGCACTGTTTTCATTTTCGATATTATCGTCAATAGAGACGACGATACGGACGACTCGTATGAGGCATGTTTTCGATGATTTTTCGACGTTTGCTTTGTGCATTAATACTTGTGTTCGTGATAAAGCAGACTCCCGAAAAGAATTTTGCAATATTTTCACCGCTTCTAGTTCCAGAAGATATCAAAAYCACAATAATACGTATGATCTTCCACCGGTCGGGTAAGTTCCAGAGCTGTAGTTTCTTCCGTCGATTACYACTTTTCTTGTAGTCCTTGTTTTGTAATATACTCGACGTTCTTCCGTAGATTGGAAATTGGAGTAGATTTTATTTTATTTATTTATTTATTTTTTTTTTTTTTTGAGGGTGACGGGGTGGTAAATGTCTTCCGCATCTAACTAAGGAAATCATTATATTATTATACAGTGTTGTTAATAACCGATTTTCATCATTTCTAATCATCTTTTTTTTAACAACAGTCACCAGATTAAACTAATATATAAGATATCCTCATTTGGTCTTGCTGATTAAAGTCTAATTTGAAAAACGACCAAATCACTTAATATTGCATACTATTTTAATCTCTTTCTCTCACAGTAAATTTCCAATGTGGCCAAACGACACGTCTTAAGCGGATTGTTATACGCAGCGCCGCACAACCATTTTCTTCATCCACATGCCAATACACGATCCGACGTCAGAGCACTCATGTTTGCCAATTACTCGTACGTTTTCAACAATTCGAGTTACAACAGCCGACCACCGACTCCGTTGCGAATACTTTAACTTGCACCGACTCCTTCACAGTCGGACGGTTTACGCTGTGCGGTGATAATAGCGGACAACACATTTATATACCATTTGAAGGGGACTCAATGGTTCTAAATTTCAATTTACCGTCGCGTTCGGCGCAAGCGAATTGGCATTTGRTTGTCGAGCAGCTAGAATGTCCACCAGCACCGAGTCATTTAGCTGACGGCTTACCACCGCTCATTGGTGGCATGATYAAAGATYTGCTAGACTTGCGTAATGTCTTCTCGAGGTTCATCAGTGACATGGATTTGCTGGCGCCAGCTGGTTGTGATCAATATTATACWGAACCATCGGGCGTGATAAAGAGTTTCAATTATCGTGATGGCATCAATATGCACTATATGACCAATCTGAAGTATACGATTTGTATTAAACAAACGATGGAGGCAAATGCGATCGAGTGAGTGGCGAATTTTTGACTTGGTTGCGCTGTGTTCATTATGACATTATTATATTTTTTTCTAATATTTAATTTTTTKTAGATACACCGTTAAAAAGTTTTCATTATCCTCCGAGTTGCCGTCTGAATTTTACAACGAGGCTTGCCATCCTTTCATTTTCACCGAGGGACGCCAGAGCGATTATCTTATGATACCCAATTCGCACTTTGCCGACAATGCAGCCGTTCAGCCGACGTATTTTTGTGGTCAAGGCCTTACAGCGGGCCAAGTTGTCATCGGTGAGTTTTCTTTGATTTGGTGTGATGTAGAAATGTATTTATTTATTTATTTATTTATTTTTTTTTTTTTTTGATATTTCAGGTTCCAGACCATTTATAATGCACTTTTCCAGCGATGAGCAATGGCATTCGGAAGAAACAGGCTTCAGCATCGAATACCGCATTAAGGYGGCCGTTTAGATTTAAGAACTGTGTGTCAAAATGAAATTCAAAATATGTGTGTTTCAAAGCGAGCACTATTAGTTCTTCAAATATATATGTATGTATAAAAATTCGGCAGCAAAAAGCCTGTATTTCCGTTACTRCAGTCGACTTCGTAGGTGCCACGAAACTGCACCTTTTGATTTCGAAAATTACACTACTTAAACAAAMAGTTCTTTGATATGAAAGAAAGTGTTTTAGTAGCGAGATCTTTTGAAAAATAAAAACAAATGTTGGATTATGTTGAACTCGATCTATATCGAGACAATGCTATTTGAGGAAGAATYATACTTGTAACATTAACCTACTTGAGACTTTCACTTATTTTAAWGCAAATCTCTATAGGGCCTTCAAAATATACTCCCCTTACTAGCATCTCAACGATAAATCCAATTTTTCATACTCTTCATATAAGCCTCAACTAGGATGGCTTGCAGCGGATTTTTTATTCTTTTTTTTGGTTTCGGTTCCTTTTTGATTCATTCCTGACCTTCGCTAAATACTTTGTTCCACTCAAATATAATACAATAACATTTTCAACGATTCCGTAGACGTAAATCGAGGTCAACATCATCTCTAGAGTTGGGTCTGCTTCTGATGACAATATGTCCAATTTTGCGGTAGACTCTGTACATATCAATGTTAAGCAATGAAAGCATGTGAGCTGAGTTGATTTAGCGCTGACCGTCTGTTTATATATCCCTACAATTCTGAGATTTTGATCCGACAATTTTTTAGTCGCCCTTTACTTACCAAGTGGCATATAGCTACCATGCAAACTGAACGATCGGAATCAAGTGTTGTATAGACAATTTTACCATTGGCGGAAATATCTTCAAGAAATTTAGCGCGGAGCAGCCGAAGTTAACGTTTTTCCTTGTTATTTCATAGGATTATTAAATTTATTTTAAGGACAAGACTATTTATACAATATATTGTGACAATAAATTGTAAATAATGCCTTCAAAGTAATATACACCCGATCCAATACACACCATCCAACGATGGAAATTTTATTTTAAAGAAGTATTGTGAAAAGTACCCCGAAAAGTAAATTAAAAAGTAAAATATTTAATTATTCATCAACAATTATTTCGTCGCMTTCAAATTAATCCCCACCAGATGTAAAACACTTACATATATGCCAACAATTTTTCCAGTTCTCGAAACATTTTTTTGAAGCATTTTTTGGGATGGCTTTAATTTTTTTTTTTTTTTTTTTTTTGGTTTCCACGTGTTTTCTCACCTTCATTCCCATAATCTCTTGACATCCCTGTAATACTAATAATCTAATACTTGCCTGACTGTTTTCAAGCTCCATATCCTTCACTTTAATTTTAATATTTTCATCAGTTGAATAGATCGAAGGTTGTCCAGAACCATTCTTGAATCACCGTAAGCCTCTTCAACATTCTCAACAATTCAGCTCACGAAATTTGGTTAGAAATACAAAATTTGAGACAAATTCTTTGTTGGTTTTTTTTATTCATATATAGGAATTAAGGACAGTCCAGAGAGGATTATGATTCATGAATTGGAATTCCCAAATGCACTATTTTCGAATTGGTATCGATTTATTGGTAAACTCATTTGGAAATGAGATATTTAAAAGAAAAGGAAGAACGAAACCGAATTTGTTAACCAAATCCCACAGAGGTGCGTAGCATGTCGTTAAACTGAAGTGCTTACATCAAYAACTGTATATCTGTGAGCTCAGAGCAAAATCAATATTTGACTAAGATATGAACAAGCAAACATTGCCCAATTTAGAAATTCCAACTAAAAAAATTTGTGACCAAAAACAAAGCGAAACAAATTAGTAGCTTAAATCATGCAAGTCAATGGGTGTGAAAAGCATACATACGCGGAGATGACCACCGAATAACAGTTAATAGAACGAAGCGGCTTTGGTTGGTTGGCAGCGCTGTGGCGCGCATTTATTGCTCCAATAGAGACCACACAACTTTTCGCGAAGACTAACGTTATAATGTGCAAATACTATATTATACTAAACAAAAAAATAAACTCCAACACAACAACAAATGAAAAGTTGATGAATTTAAAACAAACGGCAAATTTTGGTTAATACCATTTCGCTATTTTGCGAGTTTGCATATCACTTTCGAGCACTTAAAACGCTTGTAAATATTTGCACATAAGTAAGGTAGCCGTAGACTCGAGCACAGCGCTGTTGTTTTTGTAAACCAGCGAAGAACGGTATCTATCAGCGTGTAAGGGGATGTGTAAAGTGTGTGAGCGAAAGAATAAATTTGATAATTGCTCGCTATGACTTGTGTTGTGTTGTTGGTATCCAAGACACATACCACTACTCGGTTGCTCGGCATGCAAAGATCGAGCCAACGAGCGTTCGATTGGTGCAACGAAGAATGAGCACTCAACCCAATAATCGCCGAGATGGCGGCAACGCATTGTACGTCAAGTCAGGCAAGTCAGGCCAGTCAGGTGTGCTATGACAGATCTATAAAATGAAAGCTTCGTGTAACTAACGGCACAGTTTGCGGTGCGTGCGCGTGCGTTATACGAGTGTGGGCGAGAGCGTTATTGAATTGGTGATTGGCCATAATTTAGCTATTTAAAAAGTGACAAAAGTGTTTAATGCAGGAGCGAATAAACTAAAAGGCTTTAAGAAAAGTGTAAAGTGTTAGTGAATCTGGAATATTTTTATTTGAATCAAACATATGTATGTACTGAGAAATCAATAAATTTACAAATATGGTATCATCGCTRTGGAAAATTATAGCTTTAGTTTTAATTTGTGCTCATGCGGTGCGGTGCGCCTTGTGGAAGGATAATGTTTTTTACAACAATGTTAATGCAAGTTATGCATATTCGTATAAACCACCGACGCAGGATATGGACGATTCGAGCATGTTTCGACAAGCGCGTCGCAGTGCGGCCAGCGATGCTTGCACCACAAATGAAGGCACTTCGGGCACTTGTCTGTCGCGCTTCAACTGTATGCGTCAGGGTGGCATACCCAAAGGATATTGCAGCACCTATGGCGTGTGTTGTGAAAGTGAGTGGCTAAATACTTGTTGAAGAGCGTGCAAATGTCTGATAAATACAGAAAATAACGTTTATTAAGGGGTTACACGGGTTTCCTCGAGTAAAAACAGACCTTTTTCATACGTTTTTTTCTCAGATAAAACATTAAATATTTTATTTGAATTTTTATTGCTACAAACATACACTAATAACAAAGAAATCCTGCAATTTTTGGAAAAAAATATTTTTAACTCGGGCATTGCCATGCCATTTTCGGTGACCACTCGGGAAACAGATGAATCCGCGTTGGCAGGATAGCTCCTTACAGGATTATCTAAAGTGAAAAAATGCGGTTTTTGGTTAAAACCTTAACTTAGAACTTGGATGAAGGAAAAAAATAGAAAATTGGATTTCCGGCAGGCATTTTAATTAAAAAATGAAAGTTTCAATGAAAAATTAGCGATTTTTTTTTCAAATTGTTGTTAACGAAAAAAATCGTATCTCAAAGGCTTGTTCATGAAGATCGGTTGAGTAGTCCTCGAGAAATCTTGCCAACAGACTTTAAAAACACAGTTTCGCCCTTAAGAGTCAGACTAGTCTAGGAAAAACAAACAAATTATTTAAAAAAAAAAAGCCGATTCAGAAAGATCTACGAAAAGGTTACATGGCGCTGATTAAAACTTTGCTACTTAACTCACATTTAAAAAGAAAACATAAAAAATAATAATTATTACTAATAATCAAATGACTTGCTAAAATATTCATCCTTCAAAAACTGGCGGCTTCCCAATAAAATGAGATTATCATCAAAAGTCCAATTTTTTCGCTATTTACCAAGCATATATATCCAAGAAAAGTTCAAATCGATCTGTCCCACGGTCCACTAAATACAGAGCTTCTAGAAATTCGCGTCTAAAGTTTTGCGAAACAATTTCACTAAGTTACCAAATATTCTTACAAATAGGCTCATATCTCCGACAATACCTGCGGGATCTAATAAAGGATAATGAGATTTTTCAAGAGTCAAGAGGCCTTCTCCACCTTGTCTCCTCAACGTAGTGGAGGTCTTCTTCTTTCTCTGCTTCCACCAATGGGTACTACATCGAATACTTTCAGAACTAGAGCCTTGTAGTTCATTCGGACGACGAGGTCTTCTTCTTTCTCTGCTTCCACCGATGGGTACTACATCGAATACTTTCAGAGCTGGACCATTGTAATTCATTCGGACCTAGACAGCGTAACCGCTGTCTCTTTATTCGCTGAACTATGTCAATGGCGTCATATATCTCGTAGCTCTATCGACAAAAAACCATAAATTTCCCGCAGAACCCACACAAATTATAGGCTTATAAGAAATAGTATTCGATTGGAAAAGGTTTAAACATTTTTTGACAGTGCATTTTCGAAAAAAGGGGAAAACGTTTCTAATTTACTTTTATAAAAAAGCTGTAAGCTTTCAAATATAATATTCAAAGTTGGGCCAGTTTTGAAGGCACAAGATTAGGCTAGTCCCTTAAACTCAAACAAATACGGGGGCGAGCTGTATATAATATTTATATATATTTTAGAGAATTTCTACCTAAGGAATATATCTAAGGAAATTTGTTAAAATAATTTGTAGAACTTTCTATATATAAAATAACCAAAAAAAAATTATAATAATTTATTAAACAAAATATTAAAAGTTTTTAGAACAAATCTTTTATAGTAAAGCAGTTAATATAAACTTATTTTTTCCCCATTTTCACATTTCCCCCCGCTTTGCATCTCCAGCAAATCTACAATGTGGCCAGATTTCTAGCTCGAAGCGCATAATAATCAAAAATCCCGTTCAGTTGCCGACCGTGTGTCAATATGTGATTACGCCCTACAGCAGCAATGTTTGTCAGTTACTCATCGAATTTGAACAGTTCGAATTGAATCAACCGACCAACGATGCTACACTTGGCACCTCAACCTGCGGTGACAGATTCTTAGTGGGTGACTTTACGCTCTGCGGTGAAAATAGTGGTCAACATATATATTTGCCCTACGATGTTGCGGCCGGCGCCACGCAAGTTACATTGGAATTCTCATTTCCCACGAAATGGGCGCAATCCTCATGGAATTTGATCGTTACACAACTGGAGTGTCCACAGCCGAAGRAACGTTTCGGTGCCAGTAGTATGGTGATGCCATTCATGGGTCAAACAAATTTACAAGATCTACGTAAGATTTTCTCGGCGAAACATAGCGATTGGGAATTACTAGCGCCACCCGGCTGCAGTCAGTACTTCCGTCAACCGACCGGTACAATAAAAAGTTTCGGAGATATATACTATATGGAAAATCTACATTACACAATCTGCATACGGCCGTTACCGGGCCCTTCCGTAATCGAGTAAGTGAGGCGGAAGGTGTTTAAGAAATATTTTGGTAATAAAGTGGTTATTTTATATTTCAGATATACAGTGAATAGGTTTTCTTTATCATCGGAGCAAACTGATAATTTCTACGACGAAAATTGCCATCCGCTGATATTAACCGATGGTCGTCAAAATGATTATCTCATGATATGGAATGCGATGTTCAAAGACGATGCAACCATGCAGCCGACTTACTTTTGTGGACAGGCTCTGAGTGCCGGYCAGGAACTAGTTGGTATGTTATGTGGTGCTCTTTCGTGAACACAATTTACTGTTAACTGCTTTGATTCGTTTCTTAGCAACCGCTCCGTATCAAATGTACTTCAATAGCGATGACCAGTGGAGTAGTGTGGAAACAGGGTTCAGCATATCATATCGAGTGAAATCGGCCATAAGTTAATAACATTGCTAAGAGTCAACATTTCTYGGATTTAATATGCATATTTATTGGTTAAATTAAGATTTTTTATAAAAAAAATTGCAATTGAATAAAAGGAACAATTAGAAAATCAGGTCATTGCGATTGAACTTAAAATTTTTTCAAATTATTATACGAGATGTGTTCAGAAAATAACCGGAAAGACACACCAAACTGACCTAGTCCCAAAATGTAAACTTTGAAATAAGACAAATGGATGAGTTATGCAACGCGACCTTGGGTCTATTGTGCCCTCTCCTAAGTCATGACGACCTACCTACCCCCGCCTATTGACGAATTCCAATATACTGCTAGGTGTACTGAGGCATCTGCAAATATCATCCCGAGCAGATGCCTGCAAGTCGTTACAGCTACGATAGTTGAATCCCTACCAAAGTTTGTGATGATTTTGAGGCCTAAGCCACCGCTCGTTCATGGTGTACAACTAACTGACAATCCTTGGCTTGCAGCACTAGGATTTACCACCTAATCGATTGCACACCATTAGTGGTTAAGTAGCTTTGCGTGAAATTAGGATATTTGACTATTTTAATCATCTTTACCTCACTGCACCTAAAGTTTATGTATATTATGTAGGAAAGAATAGCAGCTATCGGTCGAAGACGTCCTGACGACGTCTCGGAAGGTGGGCAGATAAAAATTTTCGTACTGATAAACTTTGTCAGAAGCAGRGAGTGCTTCAGTGAGTAGTCAATAGAGTGAGAGGACTTTAGTCTCAGTGGTATCAAAAGAGGACTTAAAGGCTTTTATGCATTGTTAGACACCACTATACCTATCTACCCATCTAGTCTTGATAATTTGTTTATTCATATATATTGTGATAGGTTAGAGAATATCATTATGTGGCTAGGTAGTATGGCTGTATTTTTATTTTTTTCTTTAAATATCTGATGGGTATTTTTTAAAATTCCTGTGCCGACGGCGTAACGAAATATTCAGCTCTTTAACAAGGAATCACAGTAAGTTATATATTGTATAAATATTTAATTGCAAAATCCACATACATTTCTATACTGTTATACCCTTAGCTCCAATATGAAAGAAAAAAGAAAACAGTACAATAAACAAAAATGTATATAAGTTAGTGAGGAAAAAACATGTAAAGGGCTGGGGGAGTTAGTGCAAATACTTCTTAAATAAATGAGAAAAACGCATTAACGCACTTCTAGGCTGCGACATGATTATCCTTTTAGTAGTAATTAACTAACTAACYACATCAAGTGTTGGCCAACTGCGAGATGTCAGCAGTTCGGAGGGGGCGCCGTTAATTTGTGCAAGTCGACTGATGAAAAAGATGCTTCAATTCAGATGAAAGCCTAAAATAAAAATTGCRTGGGGTAAGCGAAAATAAAGCAATAAATGCAATTCGAATGATATTTCATTAAGGCAAAATATTTATGTGGGAAGAAAATTATATTTAAAGTGTAGGACGATTATTTAAGAATTTCGTATTGAAGAAAAAAATTTTCATTTTCACATTTGCTGGATAAAAATTTCTATGGAATATGTATAATATTGTATTTAATTTTGAAAAGTTCCAAATATTTTTTTGAATTTTATGTATTGTGTCGAATTACAATAAACTGTTAATTGTACAAAGAAGCGCTGTCATTGAAAGAAAGCCAACGAATCAATGATTGCCATAAGAACAATATTATGCTAGGCAAATATGGCGGCAGACGTGCTAATTAAAACACTTAGCGTGATTGGGCGGAACTTTTTTAAAGCAACAACGGAACAAATTTTGTTTTTACGTTAGGGTGGTCTCTATATAAGAGGTCAATTTTGAAAAACGATAAAATATATCCACAAAACGGTTTTAGTCATCCACTCATATATGTAAGCCAAATAGGTTGAGTTCGGAGCAATTTTATTTGAGTCTCAGGAGGGGARAATTTTAAACATCTTAAGCCAMAMAAAAAAAAAAAMAAAAWWAATTAAAATATTTTTTAAAAATACTAAAGTATTTTGCAACAAATTGACAGCCACACAATAATTATTTCATAAAAAGCAGAAGAGAATTCGTTTGGCGCTCCAGAAAACTATTTAAATTACGCAAAAGGCAATTGTCATGTTATCAAATTTGACTCGGGCTGTTTCGTACCAAAACGGCAATACCGAAAATAACAACAAAAAATTGTGATTACAACTTTTTAAGACACACCCTATTATAGTACATATTTACAATAAATAATAAATATACTTGCGGTCAATAAAAAGGCACCACCAAATATAATTGAAATAAGAATCACATAAACAATTTGTTTATAAAGGTGGAAGATAAGAACCATTTTTCGCTGTTTGACTACATTGCGTCAGTTACTTATAATGAGCCACAAAAGACCACTTTTGGTCCTTTGCGATACCAGATGGAGTTCAGTTACTATGTATAGGAGTAGTCATCTTTTAGTAGAGGATTAGCATGACGCGAATTTCAACAGACTCTGTGGCCTCACTATCGATGCCTCTTTCAATGTATCATACCGTGGGGAACGCTGATGTTTACAGCGTAGTCTTGCCAAATGCGAGACAAGTGCTTTGTTCTAGAATAAAATTCACTTCTAAAAGTTTATCAATTGACTTTTATTTGTTGGCTTCTTCGCCGGTCATCTTCACAGTTCATTATATTACATAAGTGCTCAATAGGGCTTAAATAGGGCAAGTTTCCATATCAATCCCAGCGTTGGATCTACTGAATTTCTACTAGTATTTTTGTTGTATATTTGAAATTTTGTGCAAAATGCTAAACGATCACAAGAAATAAATGCGGTACCAAAAAAATCACATATTGGCATGAAGAAAGTGATCTTCCTAGCAGCAGCTAGAATTGATTGCAGCCATTCAACTATTGTTCATCTTTTACAAAAAACAAAATGAAATATTAAATTAAAGTTACCATAACTGAATTAAAATTACCAAAATTGGCAGCAAAATTATTGGCAAAAGGTTATGTGGTCTGTCGAAAGCAAATTTAATTTGCTAAGCTCACAAAACGAGCTTTACTCGCGCCGTTCTGGTAGTGATAGGTGCAGTGAAGAAAATTAAGTTTCCTCAAAGGAAAATGATTTGTGTCCATATTTTGTTGATGGAATAATGAATGCATAGAAATATGTGATAGTGGTTAACCATTTTTTAGTACCCGCAGTTGAATAGCATTATGCTTTAACGGAGAATCTAATCTTCAAAGAGGACTCAGCACCATGTCCCCGCGCAAAATGGCTAAGTTTGGAATGGAAATAAATCTTGTATAAAACATCTAAATATGCTTAAAAAATAAGGGTACATTGTATTTATTTTGAAAATTCTTTATTTATTCTTCCAAATCAATTTCATCATCATTCAAGTAATGTCCTCCTGATACAAAGCACTTATGCCAAAGGATTTTCCAATCTTCGAAACACTGGTTGTAGTCACTTTCCGGGATGGCCTTCAGTTCCGTCTTCGCTGCGGCTTGAATTTCTTCTATCGTATAAAAACGGTGTCTTTGGAGCGGTCTTTTGAGCTTGGTGAACARCCAGAACGGCACGGCACCAGATCAGGTGAATACGAGGGTTGCGGAACGATATGGGTTGAGTTTTTGGCGAAATTATCACGAATTACGAGGGCAGTACGGGATGGTGCATTATCGTGGTGTAAAAAACAAGAATTGTCTTTCCACAATTCCGACCTTTTTAGGCGGATAGCGTTACGCAAATGACGCATAACGTTCAAATAATATTCCTTGTTGCCTGTTTGACCGATTGGAAGGAATTCATAATGCACAACACCACGATAATCGAAGAAAACAGTCAACATGACCTTGATTTTTGAGCGATTTTGCGCGATTTTTTTGGTCTCGGCTCTATTTTGGCACGATATTCGCTCGATTGATCCGTTGTTTCTTTCTGCACCATCCTCAACGTATCCGGAGCAGAAAATTGATTCCGTAAACAAAATTGAATGCAAATTCTTTGCTCAACAAATTTCGATATCGCAAAAAACGAAAAACTCACTTTTAGCAGCTCACATAAAAACAATTCTCCAAATCCTTCGACGCGCGTAGTTCAAATTCAAATATCACCTTATTTTTTGGGTACATATCGTGTATATAATCTTATTCAGCTCGATTTTTTATTTTTATTTGGCGAATACATAATTTCAAATATACAACAAAAATGCGATCAGTGCCTATTAGATCTAGAAGAAATTTCTCCAATTTTATAATTATGTAGCTGAAGGTAGTCTGCAAAAGTGGTGGTGCGTTTCTATTGACCACCAGTGTATATACAACAATATTTATGCAAACAACTAGACATACTATATGTGAATATGCTTGAAGAAAAAAAACTTTTCTGCGACTGTGTGGTTTTAGTAGTGTTTGACGTTTAACAGCGGCACTTAACAGACAACTAACAGTTGACCAGACCATTAAATGTTTCTACTTGCTGCAATAATTTAGGTAAAAATGGCAGATAAATAATAAAAACCTAGATTATCGGCTACTTAATGTTTGGCATGTGGCACTGTTTGTGTTTCCACACATCAATGTGAATGTCATTGGAATTTATTATTTCATGCATTTGTTTACGCTTTTAAGTAGTTATTTGTTTTCGATGAGGAGTCTTAGCAAGTTCTACTAGTTCTAGAAATTGTTGATGATTGTTTGACAACATGTGTAAATTCGTAAAATTAGGTCAGCTAGTTGAGCTTGAAAAATGAGTCAATGCGGGTCCACAATATTTGCTGATATTGATTACACTAGTATAAAAATTTTATGTTTCAAAATTAAATTTTTTTCCGTGTCATATTTTATCAATAAAACATTTCAAGGCTAGAGTGAAAGCAAAGGATGATCCTGATTTTGAATAAGATTTTGTAAATCGCTTATCTAATTTACATTTAGAACTTAGTAAAACGATTCTAATTTGTAAATTAGAGTAATTACTAGCTTTATTAACACTAAAACGGCTACTAGCTTTATTAGAATTAAATATAAATTAAATYGATTATTTTCAAATGTCGAGGCTAAATTTACACATAGTTTAGTAATAAGAAGTAAAATTTTTTAAGAAAAAATTAATTAACACAAAAATG